ACTAAATAGAATAGAATAGAGTGTAACTTGTTGCTATAACTTTTTCATAATTTGACTAAATCATGACAGCATAGAATAGAATAGAATAGAATGTAACTTGTTGCTATCACTTTTTCATGATTGTACTAAATAGAATAGAATAGAGTGTAACTTGTTGCTATAACTTTTTCATAATTTGAATAAATCATGACAGCATAGAATAGAATAGAATAGAATGTAACTTGTTGCTATCACTTTTTCATAATTTGACTAAATAGAATAGAATAGAATGCAACTTGTTGCTATAACTTTTGCCTTGATCGGACTAAATTAAATAGAATAGAATAGAACAGAAAATAACATGTTGCTATCACTTTTTCATGATTGGACTAAATAGAATAGAATAGAGTGTAACTTGTTGCTATAACTTTTTCATCATTTGACTAAATCATGACAGCATAGAATAGAATAGAATAGAATGTAACTTGTTGCTATCACTTTTTCATGATTGTACTAAATAGAATAGAATAGAGTGTAACTTGTTGCTATAACTTTTTCATAATTTGACTAAATAATGACAGCATAGAATAGAGTAGAATAGAATAGAATAGAATAGAATATAACTTGTTGCTATCACTTTTTCATAATTTGACTAAATAGAATAGAATGGAATGCAACTTGTTGCTATCACTTTTGCCTTGATCGGACTAAATTAAATAGAATAGAACAGAACAGAAAAGAACATGTTGCTATCACTTTTTCATGATTGGACTAAACAGAATAGAATAGAGTGTAACTTGTTGCTATAACTTTTTCATAATTTGAATAAATCATGACAGCATAGAATAGAATAGAATAGAATGTAACTTGTTGCTATCACTTTTTCATGATTGTACTAAATAGAATAGAATAGAGTGTAACTTGTTGCTATAACTTTTTCATAATTTGACTAAATAATGACAGCATAGAATAGAATAGAGTAGAATAGAATATAACTTGTTGCTATCACTTTTTCATAATTTGACTAAATAGAATAGAATAGAATGCAACTTGTTGCTATCACTTTTGCCTTGATCGGACTAAATTAAATAGAATAGAACAGAACAGAAAAGAACATGTTGCTATCACTTTTTCATGATTGGACTAAATAGAATAGAATAGAGTGTAACTTGTTGCTATAACTTTTTCATAATTTGACTAAATCATGACAGCATAGAATAGAATAGAATAGAATAGAATGTAACTTGTTGCTATCACTTTTTCATAATTTGACTAAATAGAATAGAATAGAATGCAACTTGTTGCTATCACTTTTGCCTTGATCGGACTAAATTAAATAGAATAGAACAGAACAGAACAGAACAGAAAAGAACATGTTGCTATCACTTTTTCATGATTGGACTAAATAGAATAGAATAGAGTGTAACTTGTTGCTATCACTTTTTCATAATTTGACTAAATCATGACAGCATAGAATAGAATAGAATAGAACTTGTTGCTATCACTTTTGCCTTGATCGGACTAAATTAAATAGAATAAAACAGAACAGAAAAGAACATGTTACTATCACTTTTTCATAGAATAAAATTTGTTGACATCTTTAATAATCATTTTAATTATATAAACACTGTAAAAAATGATTGTTGCAATCAGCTGCAATCAGTGATCCACCCCTGATGTATATAGTGACATAATAATACACATAATATAATGCACTCACTTTTTTAAAATGATATAAACACTGTGACAAAAGATTGTTTCATTTAGCTATCAAAATGTAGTGCTGGAATAACTCAGATTTGATTGACCCAAATATCCAAGCTGTCATGTAATTCAACTTCACATTTCAGGTTGACCAAAGTTCAAATTTAAAGGAAGCACAAGCACTTTTTTTTTTACAGCGAAGTTGTTATGTGTTTGCAGCACTAAGCTTTGCTATAAAACGTCTGTTTCAGTCGTTACCCAGAAGCGAAAGTCATCAACTTTGGCACGTGGTTCATCTTCAGTCTGCCGATCGCTCTGATCATGCTGATGCTCACCTGGATCTGGCTGCACTTTCTCTTTCTGGGATGCAAGTAAGAGAAAAGTAGACACTTTGATCTTGAAATGATTTGTGATCTAGCTGAACTCAGGCTGTAATCTCCTCACAGTTTCAGAGAGACTTGCTCTCTCAGCAAGAAACGCAAAACCAGGCGAGAAATCCTGTCCGAGAAGCGCATTCATGAGGAGTACCAGAAACTCGGCCCCATCAGGTACAAGAGACTGAGCTTCTGGCTGTGCTTCAGAAACTGAGATTTTCTGTTTTCACTAAGACTTTATTTTGATGTTGTGATTTTTCTGGTGCACAGCTATCCTGAAGTCGTGACGGGCATCTTCTTCGTTCTGATGACTGTACTTTGGTTCACCAGGGAGCCGGGATTCGTCCACGGCTGGACGTTGCTGTTTGAGAAGTACATGAACCTCTTGTGTTAACCCTTACTCAGTCAATAAATTATTTTATTTTATTTTATTCACCAGCAAAATTGCATTGGATAAAAGTGTCAGCTAAAAGTTAAAATAATTTTTTTATTTAGTTATATTTATAATGTATGTTGAATCGATTTAATTTTATTTAATTTTATTTAATTTTATTCACCAGCAAAGTTGCATTGGATAAAAGTGTCAGCTAAAAGTTAAATCATTTTTAAATGTAGTTATATTTATAAAGTATGTTGAATCCATTTTATTTTTATTTTATTTTATTTTGATATTACAGATTAATATGATCCAAAGATTTTGGTTACATTCACCAGCAAAGTTAAAATTATTTTATTTTATTGTTTTATTTTATTTGTAAGATTCCAAGTTGGTTGAGAAGTTCATGAACCTCTTGTGTCAGCTCAGTCAAAAATAATGATTATTTTATTTTATTTTAGTACATGAACATGAACCCCTTGTGTTAACCCTTACTCAGTCAATAAAACTGATTTCCATTTCTAAATCCTCTAACATATGCACACGTGATAAGAAAGATTGACTAAACCTCCTGTGTCCCGCAGGAAAGGCTACAGGACTGATGCCACGGTGTCTGTGCTGCTGGGATTCCTCCTCTTCCTCATCCCGGCTCGAAAGCCCTGGCCATCTGCGTTCTCCAGCGAGAGCAAAGGTCAGATCCCACGCTGCGCTACAGTACAGCCATGCGTTCGCTCAGCAGGGTCCAGTGGACAAGTGCTTCACTGGGGTCCAGGACATGAGAGGAAAGGTGAATGTTCTCGCCCCCTGCTGGCCGACTCTGGTAACCGCTCCTCTCTCTGTTCTCTGTGCAGGTGATGATGACGATGAGGAGGAAGAGGATCCTCTGGCCCCCATGATCACGTGGAAAGACTTCCAGAGACTGATGCCGTGGGAGATTGTTATTCTGGTGGGAGGAGGATACGCACTGGCTGCTGGATGCAAGGTGAGCATTCAAATTAGGCCTATTATTAGAAACATTATGATTTTTGAAACTCCTAATTCTCACTGGCCTATTGTAATGTAAAACTAATTCTTTCCCATTATTTTAATGCAGGAAAGAAAATATATATATATATATTTACTTTTTTAAAGTATACATCATGGTAGTATTTGTTGTACTAAATCTACATTATACTGATTTTAATTAAAAAAAATGTTGTCCACAAGTAATGAGAATTTAGGTGAAAATGTGGTTAAATATTGTCAAAAATGCAGTGTTAATAGTCTTCCTTTAAGTCTTCCTTTATGATATAATTTAATTTCTTATTATATTTATTTATTTGATTGTTTAATGCAATTTGATGTTTTATGTGTAATATTAATATGTGTAATGTGACCCAAACATTTCTTTGCAAGATTCACCAACAAAGTTGCATTGGATAAAGGTGTCAGCTAAAAGTTCAAATCATTTTTAATATGTGAATAAAATGTCAGCCAAGTGTCAAAAAATTAAGTAACAAGTAGTATTTCCCTTAAAATCACACCTAAAAATCCCAGTGGAAAATACTTGTTTAATAAACAGCATTTTAATAAAATGAATAGATCTTGAAATTCTAAAAATATGAAATCAGAATTTTAAATCACTATTTTATTCCTTCATAAAAAAATAAAATTTCTTATATGTTTTAAATGTTTATTTATTTTTTTTTTTTTTTTTTGGAATTATAATTATTTTAGTTTATTTTAATATTACAATGTAACATGAATCAAAGATTTCTTTGCAAGATTCACCAACAAAGTTGCATTGAATAACAATGTCAGTTAAAAGTCAAAATCATTTTTTAATGTGATATTTATTTGATTTTATAATTTTATTTTAATATTACAGTGTAATATGACCAAAACACTCTTTGCAAAGTTATCTAACAAAGTTGCATTGGATAAATATTTTATTTTATACGTAAGATTCCAAGTAGCTTTGGATAAAAGTGTCAGCTTAGAATCAAAATATTAAAGGGTTAAGATATAAGATAGGGTTAAGATATACAAATTAAGATATTTTTGATGCATTCTGAGAGCTCTCTGACCCTCCCATAGACAGCAATGTAATTACCATGATCAAGGTAGAAACGTAGCAAGGAGATCGGTAAAATAATCCATGTGACATCAGAGCTCTCAGAATTCATCAAAAATATCTTAAAGGGGTCATATGATGCGATTTCAAGTTTTCCTTTCTCTTTGGAGTGTTACAAGCTGATTGTGCATAGATAAGATCCCTGAAGTTGCAAAGACTAAAGTCTCAAAACCAAAGAGATATTCTTTATCAAAGTTAAGACTCTGCCACGGCCCCCTAAAACGGCTCGTTCTAACACGCCCCCACATATCTACCTCACTATGTGGAAATATTTGCATAATGCTGCCCAAATGTTCACGCAAAGAAAGAAGGCGTGGTTTCAGTAACCGCAGTTAGTGTTGAAGCAGCCATGTCAGGGAGACGCTGTGTG